GTCACGACTTAGTACCTCCACCGGTCGAGCCGGTCGGCCGAGCGGACAGCACACTGGTCTTGTGATCCTGTGGTCCTGGGTTCGATCCCAGGCGCCGACGAGAAACAATGGGCAGAGTTTCTTTCACCCTATACCCCTGTTACCTAGCAGTAAAATAGGTACCCGAGTGTTAGTCAGCTGTCACGGGCTGCTTCCTGGGGGAGGAGGTCTGGTCGAGGACCGGGCCGCGGGGACACTAAAGCCCCGAAATCATCTAAAGATAACCTCCACTTAGGAATTTTCCTGGCATCATTGTATGTATGTTAAGAACCCCAGCCAGTACTGGTTAGGTCATCTTCATTAACACTTTCGCTCACCCCGCGCGCCACCCCTCGACAGGGCGATATGGGCCCCAGCGTGTCACGGAAGCGCGCGTTAATTCCGAAAAGTGTATACTCTCTTCAACTTTGTCACCTCAATTCTCCTTCTACGAGAATAAATTTGGTATCATTGTGTTCGCAATAAAATTCTCTACAGCACTAAATGCATATAAACTCCAAAAGCCCGGCTAATTACCCGCAGCAAACAGAGAAAGTGCGAACGAGTTACCCGGGAGCGCGCAAACGGGATAAAATGTTTTCACTATTTTCACTCTGGTCACCTCAATTTTTGTCCTAGGTCTTTCATTTTGGTCTCAATGGGTTCGTAATAAAATTCTCTAGAGGAACATTAGCATATAAAAAAAAAAAAACCTGGTCACGCTCCAACCGCCGACGAGTTGAAGACGGGCCACGCGTTAGCCGTGAGTGAGCGCTCAGAGGCCTTCCTACTACACTCCCAATTCCCACCCTTTTCAAGCCTTTCTTTCGCAATTTTCTTCCTGGAAGGGCCTTGTTCATGATTACTATCCATCGTGGAGTAAGCGTAGATAGTTTCTAAAGCCGCAGTAAGAAATATAGCCACGGAAAATAGCCGAAATGTTCACACGTTTGAGATGCGAGGGGAGACGACATTGGTCACAACAGTGGAGCAAAGACAATGGGCCCACGGCGTGTGCCAAGCCGCCTGAGGGCCACGAGGCTCAACAAAGGAAATGGGAAGACATCGGCGCACATTTTAAAACCAGTCCCCAAAAAATCGGATACAAACCTGATTTTTGGCGAATTTTTAAAGTGGATGACGCAATGCTGCGTCATCCCCGGCATTACCGCCAGTAAACGGATGACGCAATGCTGCGTCATCCCCGAGCGAAAGTGTTAACGTGTATTGTTACTTCTTCCTGGGGAAGTAATTCCCCAAGATTATTTCCCTGGGAAATATTCTAATGTCACATTACAAGGATCTACGAGTTTTATTTCAATATTCTACCAAAGCTTCAACAATACTCATTCTAGCTTTACGAAATCTATAATTTTGCTAAATCAGAATAACAGCAGCAGCAGCTAACAAAGCATCCTCCAGTTAACTCTGTCTGACCAACATTGCAAATATCGCTGCAAATTGCATTGCACCCCAAGGTTATTTCCTGCGTAATTAATTTGAATTCAAACTAAGTTTTGGAACGATCAACCCCTCCATTTAACCTAAGCTAACCTTAACTATTTGTAGTGTTCCTGGCCAATCCATTTAGGCACACAAGTATGGATAATTGTGATTCTAAACACTGTACATTTAACTGATTGTATCCTACTGAAACAATCTAGATATTTATGATCTCATTAAACTCTGTCCAGACAGAATCTAATGATAATGATCATTGACACATGCTTTGCACTGCCACCACCTTGATTACTTATTCCTTAAGGCTCAAGGAAGATTTATTACGTACTTTTGTTGTTAAGTCCTCATTTTCCCCATGTCAATAAGAAGGGAAAATGGATGTTAAGTTGGGCCTCTCTGATTTACCCCAGGGAACAGGTGAGACCAAAGTTGATGGACCCTCCCCATCTCTCTCTCTCCCCATCTCTTTCTTCTCCCCTCCCTCCCCCCCTCTCTCTCCCCCCCCCCCCTCCCTCTCTCCCTCCCTTTTACAGGAGTGTACAGGTGTAATTACCTAAGTGTAATTACCTAAGTGTAGTTACAGGATGAGAGCTACGCTCGTGGTGTCCCGTCTTCCCAGCACTCTTTGTCATATAACGCTTTGAAACTACTGACGGTCTTGGCCTCCACCACCTTCTCACTTAAATTGTTCCAACCGTCTACCACTCTGTTTGCGAAGGTGAATTTTCTTATATTTCTTCGGCATCTGTGTTTAGCTAGTTTAAATCTATGACCTCTTGTTCTTGAAGTTCCAGGTCTCAGGAAATCTTCCCTGTCGATTTTATCAATTCCTGTTACTATTTTGTATGTAGTGATCATATCACCTCTTTTTCTTCTGTCTTCTAGTTTTGGCAAGTTTAATACTTCCAACCTCTCCTCGTAGCTCTTGCCCTTCAGTTCTGGGAGCCACTTCGTAGCATGTCTTTGCACCTTTTCCAGTTTGTTGATGTGCTTCTTAAGATATGGGCACCACACAACAGCTGCATATTCTAGCTTTGGCCTAACAAAAGTCATGAACAATTTCCTTAATATATCGCCATCCATGTATTTAAATGCAATTCTGGTGTGTAGAGGAACAGATGATTCCTCACTCCTGTTAGCAGGCTGAGAGCTTTCCCTTCCCTTTCCTTATAGGAAGTCTTCCCCACTAGTTGTTCCTATTGCTTAGGTACTCCCTTATCCACTGGAGCACCTTACCAGCTACACCTGCCTGTCTCTCCAGCTTACGTACCAGCCTCTTATGCAGTACTGTGTCAAAGGCTTTCCAACAATCCAAGAAAATGCAGTCCACCCAGCCCTCTCTTTCTTGCTTGATCTTTGTCACCTGGTTGTATTAACTAAGCCAGTCAGGAGAGACTTACATACGTACGTACACATCCGTTCGCGTGCGTGTGTTTATTTTTATATATATATATATATATATATATATATATATATATATATATATATATATATATATATATATATATATATATATATATATATATATATAAAAATAAACACACGCACGCGAACGGATGTGTACGTACGTATGTAAATCTCTCCTGACTGGCTTAGTTAATAGAATTCTTTGTTATAAATATATATATATATATATATATATCGTACCTAGTAGCCAGAACGCACTTCTCAGCATACTATGCAAGGCCCGATTTGCCTAATAAGCCAAGTTTTCATGAATTAATGTTTTTTCGACTACCTAACCTACCTAACCTAACCTAACCTACCTTTTTCGGCTACCTAACCCAACCTAACCTATAAAGATAGGTTAGGTTAGGTTAGGTAGGGTTGGTTAGGTTCGGTCATATATCTACGTTAATTTTAACTACAATAAAACAAAATTTACCTCATACATATTGAAATGGGTAGCTTTATCATTTCATAAGAAAAAAAATAGAGAAAATATATTAATTCAGGAAAACTTGGCTTATTAGGCAAATCGGGCCTTGCATAGTAGGCTGAGAACTGCGTTCTGGCTACTAGGTACGACATATGTATATATATATATATATATATATATATATATATATAATGTATATATATATATATATATATATATATATATAAATCAGGCTTGTTTATATATATATATATATATATATATATATATATAAACTGGAAGTCAGAAAGGAACTAACATCAAATCTGAAATTGATGCAAAACGCAGTTGATCGAAGTACTGTATGTCTCTATTTATTTACACCTGCTTGATACCTACTTGATGGGGTTCTGGGAGTGGTTCTACTCCCCAAGCCCAGCCAGAGGCCAGGCATGACTTGAGAGTTTGGTCCACTAGGCTTTTGCTTGCAGCAGCCTGCAGGCCCACATATCCACAACAGCCCGGTTGGTCCAGCACTCCTTGGAAAAAATTATCTAGTTTTCTCTTGAAGATGTCCACTGTTCCGGCAATATTTCTTATGCTTGCTGGGAGGATGTTGAACAACCGCAGACCTTGATGTTTATACAGTGTTCTAGACCTTGATGTTTATACAGTGTTCTCTGATTGTGCCTATGGCACCTCTGCTCTTCTCTGGTTCTATTTTGCATTTTCTTCCATAACGTTCACTCCAGTATATTGTCATTTTACTGTGTAGATTTGGTATCTGGCCCTCCAGTATCTCTCACTTGTATATTATTTGATATCTGTCTTGTCTTCTTTCTAGTCAGTACTTTGGAGAGCTTTGAGACGATCCCAATAATTTAGGTGCTTTATTGCGTCTATATATGCCGTATATGTTCTCTGTATTCCCTCTATTTCAGCAATCTCTCCTGCTCTGAAGGGGGAAGTGAGTACTGAGCAGTACTCAAGACGGGACAGTACAAGTGATTTGTATAGTACAACAATTGTGACGGGATCCCTGGATTTGAAAGTTCTCGTAATTCATCCGCAAGTACGGAATAAGTAATATATAATAAGTAATATATATATATATCGGATAAGTAATTACTTTATTTGCAAAGAAAAGGAGATAACTTTTATGTCAGAAAGAGCTGTAGAAACAGCTAAAGAAGTAGATAAAATTCTTGTGCTAGTGGTTCGTAAGTGCTTGCGCAACCGGTTCGTGAATCTGGCCCCTGGAACTTAAAAGAACAAGAAGTCACAGATTTAAATTAAGTAAACAAAGCTGCCAAAGACACATAATGTTCACTTTCACAAACATAGTGGTAGATGGTTGGAACAAGTTAGGTAAGAAGGTAGTGGGGGCCAAAACTATCAGTAATTTAAAAGCGTTATATGACAGTGCTGGGAAGACGGGACACTGCGAGTGTAGCTTACATCCTGTAACTACATTTAGTTAATTACGGATGTCCTATCTTTTTCTCAGCCTTCCAATCCTTTTCCTAAACATACTAATCATACAATGATGTCTATATTTTAAAATTATCATCACTATCTGCAAAAGCAAGGCTTTCCTGTAAAACATTAAGCTCAATACAATTTAAATATTAAGGATAAACTGTAGAGACTGAACTGTACTTACTCGGTGCAGGCTGCGGTTCTGGGGTAACTTCCTTCTCCTTTGGTGATGGTGTAAGCACAACAACTGGCTTTGGACTAGCCTGTTTAACAGGAGGCTGTGGTTCAACCTTTACTGAATTTGGAACCTCATTTATCTCGGGTTGAGCTGCTGTTACACTCTTAATGGAAACTTCTGCCTTTGGTAACGATTCTTGAATTTTCGGTATTTGTTGATTTGGAGGTTGCTGAGGAAGTTCCTGCTGTGACTGAGATGGGGAAACTGCTGTTTCTATTGGTTGCAACGGCAATGGCTGTGTTTGTGGTGGTTGAGGCTGCTGCTGCTGTACTGGCTGCAGTGGTTGCTGTTGAGCTGGTTGGGGAGACTGCTGGGGAACAGGCGACTTCTGCTTTTGTGATTGTGTTAATTGATGTGGTGCCTGCTGTTTTGACTGTTGTGGTGCTTGCTGTTTTGACTGTTGCTGTTGTGTTGCTTGTTGTTTCAGCTGTTGTGGTGCCTGCTGTTTCAGCTGTTGTGGTGCTTGCTGTTTCAGCTGTTGTGATGTCTGCGGGGGCACAGGATACTGCTGTGATTGCAGCGGTGGCTGCTGCTGAGAGGGCTGCTGCGTCGGCTGCTGCTGAGCAGGCTGCTGCGTCGGCTGATGCTGAGCAGGCTGCTGAGCGGGCTGCTGCTGAGCAGTCTGCTGCGTCAGCTGCTGCTGAGCGGTCTGCTGCGTCGGCTGCTGCTGAGCTGTCTGCTGCGTCGGCTGCTGCTGAGTGGTCTGCTGTGTCGGCAGCTGCTGCTGAGCAGGTTGCTGCGTCTGCTGATGCTGAACAGGCAGCTGTGGTGTTTGATGCTGAGGGGGCAGCTGTGGCGGCTGATGCTGAGCAGGTGGCTGTGGTGGTTGATGCTGAGCAAGTGGCTGTGGCAGCTGATGCTGAGGTGGTGGCTGCTGGGGCAGCTGATGCTGCAGTGGCAGTTCCTGGGGCAACTGATGCTGTTGCTGTTGTGGCTGCTGTGGCAACTGATGCTGTGGTGCCTGTTGTAGCAACTGATGCTGTGGTGTCTGCTGTGGCATTGGCTGTGGTACCTGCTGAGGTAACTGATGCAGCAACTGATGCTGTGGTGGCTGCTGCTGTGCCAAGTGATGCTGTGGTGGCTGCTGTTGTGCCAAATGATGCTGTGGTGGCTGCTGTTGTGCCAAGTGATGCTGTGGTGGCTGCTGCTGTGGTGGTTGTTGCAGCTGTGGTAACTGATGCTGTGGTGGCTGTTGCTGCTGTGGTGGCTGTTGCTGCTGTGGCAACTGATGCTGTGGTGGCTGTTGCTGCTGTGGCATCTGAAGAACTGAGTGCTGTGATAATTGCTGCATAGATGGTTGCACAGATTGCTGTTGTGCCAACTGCTGTAAAGATGGCTGAATCGGTTGTTGTGGTAATTGTAGGGACTGCTGTGACAACTGCTGAGGCAAATGTTGTGGCACCTGATGAGTAAACTGTTGCAATATCTGATGAGAGTCTTGTTGTGGCTGCTTAGGCTGAGGCTTAATAACCTCCACTGATTCAGGAACTGTCTTCACAATACCACTCTCCACTATGTTGCTATTCACTGACTCTATTGTATTTGCTATGCTATTATTTAATTTGTCTTTACTTTCTCTACTATCACTAATTATTACAACACTAGTGCTATTGTCACATGGTTTATTAGTCCTAACTACACTTTCAGTTGTATCTATATCCATGACGTCCTTTTCCGCTGCTTTTTTCGCTACATCTGCTGCAAATTGAGCTGCTATAACAGCAGATTCTGTTTTTGTTGGGGGTGTTCCACTCTAGAAAGAGAATGTCAAAATTAGTGACATGTAGAACATATAAGATTCAAGTTACATCAAATGCTGCTAAACATATGTAGGTGATAATACTGTAATGCCTTATATACCTATATGTGAAGCAAGTAGAAAAATAGTAAAATTTTTGGTGTTAGCCCTTTCCAACACAGAATGGTTCTGATGTTTCACCGACCAGTGTTGACTTACTTCACGCCTCTTGCATAGTCTAACTGGTTGTAAGGTGATAACCTTTTACACTCGTTAAAGTGCTAGAGAATTTAGACTTCCCCATTTTATTCCCCAACACCTTTTTAATAAGTACAAAGGCTATAACCATATAAAATGTATTAATCAGGAACTAAAGAACATATGAATCACATATAATGCCAATAAAATATCCATATGCAAGTGTATAATACATTATATTCTGATTGTTAAAAACACACTGTAGCCATTTGCTTATACTGTAATAGAAAACAATCTAGATGAACCTATGCCAATATTTTGACCCATCCTGATACTGCAATACAGTACTTACACCACTGTGTTTTTTGTTCTCAATTTAGCTATAAATAAAAATATAAGTCATGGCTTTATGTCATCCTTTCAGCCAGAACAAAAATAATCATGAAAATTATTGCTGTAGAAGACACTGAAAAACTACAAGACAATTTCAATTAGTCTTCAATTTAGTAACGGAAAAAACACGTTTAGCGGCAATAAATTCCAGGTACACTGTACGTACTGTACTTACAAAAAATTTGTGATGGAACAATACTAAAATTTCTAACGATTCCAATTCCACTACAAAATCTCTATTCTGACACAATTGTTAGGTTTATATAACAAATATAATAATTTGTTTGGAAAATTTATGATTCACATTATGAGCATGGCAAATGTGTGAATAATATAATAGATTTTATAGAAAATAATGGTAAATCCAGCTTAAATCTTCTGGAATAAAACTGAAAAATATAAATATTCTATTATACTGTATTTACAGACCTACATGCTTTAATTGTGTACTAATCAATAAAATAAAATTTGGTAATCTTATTGCAAATAAAAATAATGTTGCAACACGAGCTCAACTGAAGGATGGCCAACTTTTTTTTTTTATTAAAGTAAACCTTAATTTACAAAACAAAAGAATTAGGTTCGATCCCAGGCGCCGGCGAGAAACAATGGGCAGAGTTTCTTTCACCCTATGCCCCTGTTACCTAGCAGTAAAATAGGTACCTGGGTGTTAGTCAGCTGTCACGGGCTGCATCCTGGGGGTGGAGGCCTGGTCGAGGACCGGGCCGCGGGGACACTAAAAGCCCCGAAATCATCTCAAGATAACCTCAAGATGACCCCATCATAGGTGTACATTTTATATACAATTTACATAATCATAACATTTTTAATTCTTTTTTCAAATAAAATTATAATCCAATAATAAAATGAAACTTTATGAGTGTAATATGTGATTGTTATGATCAGAATTTACACAATTTACAAAGTGCTGTGCTGCATTTAACCACTGCACTGCGCCAACCGACAGAAGTATTTTTTTCGTACACAGTCAAAACGCGCTCGAGGTAGGTTGGGCACGAAATGGACTTTTGGGACCTCCAGTGTGAGGCAGCCATCTTGGAAAATTTTTCCAGAATGTCCTAAGGCTGCTGGCTGGGTTAGCACTGAGTGAGAAACCATGGGTGGCGCACGAGCCTCTGGCTCCCAAACACCTGTCCGACGCCGTTTTGAAAGATAACGCTCTGTCGGTGAAATTCAGACCTTATTGCTAGAAGAACATAAGGATCATGATATTGGTGAAGCTAGGCGCAATAAGGACCTAACACAAAGGTCGGATGCAAGTGAAAAAGCACCTATGAGGACGATACAGCGAGCATATCCAGATGTACCTCTGCGCGCCACACCTGCCCACCTATGCTATCTCCAATTTATGTAGATGATACACAGATGAATCGTTTTCTAGGTTGTGATGATGCATCTGATACAAGTAGCATAGATGAACAGTGTTATCAGCTTCCATGGTGGTGTTTTCCATAGATATTTTCAAGAATAGCTGAATCTCTTCCAGTCAGTGACCTTACAAAGTGATTTTTTCAAGACTACCTTACGAATTGAACTTTTCCTATAATCTTTTCAAGACTACCAAGCATTACAAGCTTGGCTACATACAACCTACAGGTACTAAAGCCAAGGGTGTACATGAGTGCGTTATTTGCAAGCACACAGAAGAAAGAAACAAGAAGAGAAAATCTAAATCTACCTGGTGCACCGAGAGCGAAGTCACGCTGTGTACCATGGACTACTTCGTTGATTATTACTTGCTTCCGAAATACTGAGTGTGTAATACAGTGTAAAACTGTATATATTGTAGTTTGTGAATTTTTAACAATTAATATTGCAACAATAAACATATGGAAGAAAATGCAGAATAGAACCAGTGAAGAGCAGGGGTGCCATAGGCACATCAGAGAACAAACACTGTATAAACATCAGAGGTCCGCGGTTGTTCAACACCCACCCAGCGAGCATAAGAAATATTGCTGGAACAACCGTGGACATCTTTAAGAGGAAACTAGATTGTTTCCTCCAAGGAGTGCTGGACCAACCGGGCTGTGGTGGGTATGTGGGCCTGCGGGCCGCTCCAAGCACCAGCCTGGTGGATCAAACTCTCACAAGTCAAGCCTGGCCTCGCACCGGGCTTAGGGAGAAGAGCTCCCAGAACCCCATCAACCAGGTACCAGGTATCATTTATTGTGGACACATTACTGACATGTATCACAGTTCCATGGAACATTATGAACATTCTACTGCATACATACTGTAACGACTCGATTATCCGGGATTCGAACATCCGGAAAACGCCTTTATACGGCCAAAATATGACTGGATAAAGTTCTCAATACTGTATCTGGTCAAAATGGCCATGGGAGCCAGATAAAAGCTAGTTTAGCCGGATAAAAAATCGGAGCCGGTTAACTTGTTGCCGATGTTAGTTACACTACCCAGACAGTCAGCTGGATAAACACTGAATTGTCCGGATATGAAAGCCATGGGGCAGGCCATACCTTATTAATCCCATCTGCCTGTAGGTCGAGGCACATAGTGCAGGAGGGGGTGGCGTGGGTGGGTGGTGTCGGGAGAGGGAAGCATTGGGAGGGTCCACCTGGGGGGATGAGGGGGATGTGGAGCGGCCTATACACTACAGTACAGGAATTACCATTAATTTCAAAACAATTCATCATAGCCAAAATCAAAAGAAATACTAGTAATTATGTAATAAAAAATACCATGCAAGTTTCCTAAAAACAATTTGCATAGGATGAAGTTTCCTTCAAAAATGTTTTTTTTCTTTCTGCTGGCGGCCTACGTAACGTGCCTCCTCCCTGCCCCGACTTGGCCCGCCCATGCCTGGTCAAGCCATGTGCTCTCAACACTCGTGTTACACCACAGTGCCCGCCATTAATGAAATATTTTTTAAATAACGTTTTTATTTTCATAGTAACTTTGAACATTTTTCGACAAGATTATGTCTGGTAGCATCATGAATCGTTCTGGAGGCATTAATTTAAGAGGAAGAAGGTTGTTCTAACAATTAAGGACAAGTTACGTGTTAAACCACTTTGAAAATGGCCGGTCGCCTTCAAGTGTTGCTAAGGAATTTAATATAGGCACTAGTACTGGTTTCTGACATAAGGAAACAAAAAGAGAAAATTCTGAAATATATTTCAACCTGTGAAAGTTAAGGTGCAAGCACTAGCAGAGGGTGTGGTAGAAAGACTATGAAAACTTCGACGCATGTGCAGTTGGATGAGGCTGTGTACAAGTGGTTTGCTCAGCACCGCACAGCTGGCGTGACAATTCGCGGCCCAGAAATACAAAATGCTGCAAACAGGTTTGCAGCAAGCCTTGGAATAAAGGATTTTGAAGCTAGTGAAGGGTGGGTTGCAAGGTTCAAAGGTCGGCACAATATTGTGAAGAGGAAAATTGTCGGTGAAAAATTGAGTGCAGATGAAAGCAGTGTAGAACCATTTAAAGAAATCAAGAGCATACATTTTGACCAATAATTTATATACTTATCAAATTTATAATGCTGATGAAACTGGGCTGTGTTGGAGGGGTTTAAAACTCTAGCAATGAGGAGTGAGGGTTGTGTGCCAGGACGTAAGGAAAACAAGGACAGGATGTCGGCCATGATGTGTGCGAATGCCGACGGCACAGACAGAATCACGTGTGCAACTGTTGGCAAATCAAAGAAACCAAGAGCCTTGCAACATTGCATGGACAGACTGCCAGTCAAATATTATAACTCACAAAATGCATGGTTCACACAGGAGATCTTTCTTTCCTGGTTTCATGACGTGTTCTGCAGGGAAGTGCGTGCCTATCAAGTTAATTTAATAAACTCAAAGTAAGGCCAAGCGAAGTTCGGGCTTTGCTGCTGCTTGATAATGCGCCTGCCCACCCCAAAATTGACACGTTAACCTCACATGATGGCAAGATAACATGTATGGCACTTCCTCCTAACACAACCTCTCTCATCCAGCCTATGGATCAGGGAGTTATCCGAGCCACGAAGAGGTTGTACACCAAAAAGATACTGAACGAAGTTTTGGTGGTTTTGCCTCTTCCGGAAGATATTGAAGTCAGTGTGGATTACAGGGCTAAAAAAAAAAAACTTGAGAATTTGAAGAACTATACAATCAAGGAAGCCATCTATAACTGGGCCAAGGTGTGGAGTGAAGTAAAGGAATCGACTTTGAAAAATTCCTAGAAAAAAATCCTCACGTCTACGGTCAGAAATGAGGAGGATGAAGAAATGTATTTTGAAGGATTTACAGATGAAATCCATGGAATGTTCAGAAATGCAGGTGAAAACTTAAAAAGATAGGATGTGGTTGATTGGCTTGAAAAAGATACCATTGATCCAGGATATGGTGTGATGAGTGAAGACGAGATTCTCCAGTCTATTACTGGCGAGGTCGACGTAGAGATGGAGGATGAAGAAGGCAGTGATGAACCAACACCAATGACCACATAATACAGTGTACTCATGACCTATGTTGACGGATTAATAAATTTTTTATCCAATTGTGCTCATCCAGAAGTTGGAAATATGTATCAGTACCTGAGGCGAACAAAAGAGCTGATCATACAACTGGCCAGTGAACACAGAAGGCCAAGCGCCTTCAACAAGTGAGGCGGCACATGCAACCCAAGTGCCTTCAACAAGTAAGGCGGCACACGCAACCCAAGTGCCTTCAACAAGTGAGGCGTCACAGGCAAGCCAAATGCCTGCAACCAGTGAGGTTTCCGCAGCTGACAGTGAAAACTAACTTTGCCTAATTAAGTGTACAGTAATTTTAAGTGTTAATTTTAGTGTTGTGTTAGTATAAGTTACGTAAATTGTTAAGAATTTTTAACTTCAAGATGTGTGGCATCAATCAAGAAGACGAACACCAACAAGGTAAGTTGAGGTTTCTAGTTGAATATTTAATAATTATATGTGGCAAGGCAATTCAAATTATGTTGTTTGTAGTATAAAAATATTAATTGGAAATGGTTAGCTTTGGACTCGTAGGTGAAAAAGTACCATTATCCGAAAAATGTGATAATCCGGCTGGGGGTCCTTTCCATATAGTCCGGATGATCGCGTGGAGAAAGTACTACATATATTACTTTAACACTCACACATCCCCAGGAAGTAGCCCATAGCAGCTGTAACTCCCAGGTACACATTTACTGCTAGGTAAACAGGGGCAGCAGGGTGAAAAACTATGCCAACTTGTTTCCACCTCGGCCAGGAATCAAACCCAGGCCCCAAGGACTACGATTCCCGAGTGCTATCCACCCAGCTGCGAGCCCCCTCCCCCACCCCTGGAGACTGGTGGGGCAGGGTCACTAACTCCTCTGCTAGGATATGAGGTTGGGTGTTGGGTTTTATAGTTCAAGGGTGCGCTGGCATTCACGTGCTTGTACATACGGTATGCCGCTGACACCACCTACATCTATGATTATCCTGAATTCGGCATCATTCTTTCAGCAGACATCCCTAGTACTTGGTGTTCTGCTTGGTCCTTACCTTCAGGCCCTGGTAAGCTTTGTGCATCTTATAGATTGATCTGCTAAGCATACACACACTACTTGAGCTTCGGAAATGTTAACTGCCACCACTACATGTTAATGACCATTCATTATGTCTCCACCATACTGCCTGTTAAGTGGGCAATAACCTTTAATCCCCAAGCCTTGTGATATTTGTATTCACTGGACCTCGTTTTTACAGCCAAAATGTAGTACGATTCCATTTAAAGTGAACCCATTAACACATTGAAAATAAAAGATATACAAAAATTCCCTATGGATGTCATATCACAACTTAACCATATACCAGATGTCCCCCTTAACCCCCTGGACATTAAAGTAGCCATAGACAGCATGCCTATGCACTCTGCACTGAACTCTGTGCAGGCCTGGACTGATACAATTCTATATTCGAGAATTGTAAAAAAAAACACTATCACAGGTCCAAAACATTTTTTGGGAAGCTGAAGCCTCCAAGAGGTTTAGGTCCAACCCTGCATTGGCATTTTAGCTGCACCCTTTCCCTGTATTTTTAATTATTATTTTATGTTGAATAATCAACACAAACACGCCCTCTTATGCCGGTCTCATTGAAGCTTTTACACATACTGTATTAGCAGTTACATTAAAGCACAAAATTTGGCTTAACTAATCAATAACACACAGCTAATCAGATCCTGAATAATTTTTTCGAGCAAAGACCTCAGTTGTCACACGACTCATGATCGACTGCAGAAATAGCTTTATGCCTAGGACTAACTGGAGTCATCAGAAAGTTGACAGTCAGAAAGAATGGATACCGAGAAATAATTCATGCAAGATAATGCATCTTAAATGCTTAGTACTGATCATTGATTAACACTATCGCGCGCGGCGCATGAGTGCCACAGACTTTGACGTCACGGGGCGGACAGTGCGGGCAAGCATGCGGCGACGCCTAAATGTGTATACTCGTTTCAGTTTTCTCACCTTAATTCTCGTGCTACGTCGTTCGTTTTGGTATCATTGTGTTCGCAATTAAATTCCCTGCAGGTGTATATGCATATAATGTCCAAAAGCCTGGCGAGACTCCCCGCAGCATAGCCTAAAGTTACCAGTGAACGAGCACCAATTTGCACACCACAACCTAATGTGTATACTTGTTCAGTTTGATAACATTAATTTTCATGCTACATCGCTCATTTTGGTATCAAATTGTTCCCAATATAAAGGCGTGCATTTTAAAACTAGTCTCATAATAATAGAGCAATAACTGGAATTTTAACAAATATTTTAATTTTGGACGCTCACCATCACAATTATTTATATCTTTCCAGTATTCTGACATCAATTTTTGTGTTACGTCATTTTGTTTTCAAATTGTTTGCAATCTAAAGGCACGCATTTTAAAACTAGTCCCATAATAATACCACAATAAATAGAATTTTAACAAATATTTTAAAATTTAAAATTTAGACCCAAAAACGTATTTATAATCTTTCCAGTGTTCTGACATCAAGTTTCATGTTATATCTTTCATTTTGGTATCAAATTGTGTGCACTCTAAAGGCGCTTATTTTGAAACTATCCCGAGGTCGATCGGATAAAAAATGAATTTTATACAAATATTTTTGGAGTGGATGCGAGTCCTGTCCACGGCTAGTACTCTAAGAGAAAAAAAAGTGGACGTGATCAGTGTCCAAAGTGAGCGATACTGTTAAACTACTATAGTAAATCATATACAGTATGGTACTTACAGGTGCTGGTGTATTGCTGGCGCTAGATTCTGATGATTGAGGTGGAGTTGGAGTTTTGTCTGGCTTCTCATTATTCATGTCATCTAATATATTCTTGCCAGTACTGGGATCTACTATAGCAAGAGTTTTACGCTCTCTCTGCGGGGCCTGAGTCATCACGGGTTTTAACTGCGGCTGTTGTGTAGGTGGTGGATAATACACTAAAATGGAGAAAAAATATATAAATTACAATCCGGATCCAATCCACACAATTACACAGGTGAATGCACATATATACTATCATTAAATACTGTACCTGGATTTACATGGATCCACAAAACTTTAGCCATTTAACCAATATTAATTGTAGTAATTGTTGGGTAATGAAGCAAAATCATCTACATCTCATCTTACTGTAGATGAAGTAAATACACCCTTACATTTATGCAAATCTTTAAAGTATTCAAAGTTTCAGTTTGCAATCTAATTCAATCTACATGTTTGTTTAGTGTATAGTATTAGTAATTACCATCTGTGGTAATAGGAGTTCTATCTATCTTTGACTATCTTGAGGTTATATTGAGAAGATTTCAGGGCTTAAGTGTCCCCGCGGCCCAGTCCTCGACCAGGCCTCCTTTTTGTTACACACCCCCAGGAAGCAGCCCATAGCAGCTGTAACTCCCAGGTACCTTATTACTGCTAGGTAACAGGGGTTTCAGGGTGAAAGAAACATTTTGCCCATTTGTCTCAGCCTCCGCCGGGGATCGAACCCGGAACCTCAGGACTACGAATCCGAAGCGCTGTCCACCCAGCTGTCAGGCGCCCTAAAGGTATTCACAGTATTAATACAGCACAGTAGGCTTCTGCTCAAGTGAACAAACTTTGCACCACAAAAGAACTTCAGTTGCACCTAAAGTTTGCTATTTTATATAAAGTAAAATAATTAAATTGAATGTACCGTATTCGGCTGGTTGCTTGTACATTATTTGGCAACTGGCACCATGAAAAACCTATAGCCTTTACAGTGTTTGATAGAACACAACTCCAAAATGCCAAGAAATCTAAAAATACTGTATACACGAATAACATACTAAAATATGAATGGTATCTTATACGAGACTAAAAATTAGAGTCTGGTTTCTAAGATTTTGTGAATCCTCTTAGTATAACTAAAAAAATTTTTGCAATAAATTTATGGTTATATTTTAATGAACGTGTTCTGTATTGTATTCAGGCAGTTGCACAGTTCTTAAATGGTGCTATATGTTTAGATACCTAAAATGTGTTATGGGTACTGAACAGGAGCTGAATATAGGCACCACAAAAACCCAGTATCAAGCCACTGAAGCCAATAATCTACAAAACAATTGAAAATGGCATCAGTGCATGCCTCGCATGCCTTGCTACCTTACATGTTAACACCAGACCATATGTGGCTCCCAAGGAATCAATGACCAAACATGGGTTTTGACCAGAGCAAAGGATCATATAAAGTCAGTTGAAAAAATTTATAAAGAATTTAATTAAATATTTTTGAAAAATGAGGATTATATGGATAATTTTCATAGTACAGTAGTTCTATTTCAGCCTACATTTCCCTGGTGATTGCCATTGAGGCTGTATATCTTCATAACCATACAAAATATAAGTACAGTACAATTTTAATGCTTTAAAAAGCTGTCCAAATTAAATTTTACTACTCTTCTCAGAATTTTGCACATAAAGATCAAATAACCATCTGCTGCTCCTCCCATGCTAAAGTGGTTAGTTCAAGTTCCTGTAACCAGGCCTCATAATTCAGGTACAGGTACTATTAACTTTAATGTAAACTTTTTCACAATGTTATTTGTGTACTTCCTAAGATGTAGATTCAATACCAAAGATTTGTATTATAGTGAAAAGCAAATTGTGTTGAAGGTTCTCAATTTAATTTTTAGTCATATATTATCCAGCTTTCCAAGTACTACAGATGATATCCTTATTTGTGTGTTCTTCCCGTGTTAGTGCTAGAATTGTATCTAGTTAAATTTTTTCTCTCTTTCAGATCCCTGCATTCCTGTCCCCTTAATGTGTATAATTATTGTCCCCCTTTATTAAATACTGCACTGCCACAATATTTGCCTTCATAAAACTTCTTGCGTTCCTCAGTCAAGTGTTGCACAAAAAATCTTTATGTAACTGATAAATGAGTGTTCTACTATTCTTGTAGCCACCTCCTGCATCTGGTCTGGTCCAGTTACTATGGTTACACCTCTTTCCTCCGTCTCTTAAAACACTAATGTTGGTTATTTGGTGTGTCTAACACAAACATTCCAAATATAAACTTAATATTCTTGCTAAGAGATACAAAATTTCCCAGGGGTACCTTTTGCAACCAAGACTACTTGGTTGCAAAAGTACTGTATGGCAATTATTCCAACCAAGGCATTGTGTTGAATTTGTTTTTAGCAGCTACTTTCATTCATTTCAGAAATACTGTGCAAGGTGAACCCTATCCCTCTCCTTAATTTGGAAACTTTTCTCAAATGTACTGTCAGGGACATTGCACATCCCATTAGAAAATGGGTATCTTACCTGTACCATCAATGTACAGAAGTTTATAAAGCTTCAAACCAATATATGAAGGTGTTCTTTAGGATTGAATGGCATAGACACCAAACATTTACCTAAGAAAAAATATAAAAAATTGCTATCCCATTGAGGGATACTAAATAAACATTTAAAAATACAGGAATGCTGCATTTATTAAAGCTCTTCAAATGAGTAAGCCTTAATAGAAGCAACTTAAACCCCCACCTACAGTGCTTTTCATTTTCTTATGATAAGAGTTCGAGAGAAGGACAAGTCCTGAACTATGAAACACTCACAATGCTTACCTCCCTGAAGCTGCCGGTATTGGAGGGTGGAAGTAGCCTCGTGCTTACCTCCCGGATTTTGGTGGTATTGTATAGTCGGGTAGTGACCCTGTGGATGAGGCTGTGGTATCTGAGCAGGGTGAAACTGCCCAGGTTGCGTGTGGGGTGTTGGCTGACGATGAGGACCCATGGTCTGGAACTAAAAGAAAATATAGTGTTACACGAGAATTAATACAAGTCAATCAGATGATGATCACTCCTATTCCATTTATTCCTTCCCACTTATATGGATAGTTAAATCACAACCCAATAATGAAGCAAGGTACCCAACGTCAATCATGAAAACAAGATGACAAAGAAATGCCATAATACAAAATTTACTGAATAAAAAAAATCCTAACACTTTCGCATTCTGATGAAACAGTTTATCATCGCTAGTACTCCTGGATCTGGAAAGTTCTTCTACTCTCCAAGCCAAGCCCAACGTCAGGCTCGACTTGAGAGAGATTGATCCAACCAACTGTTTGGAGCGGCTTGCAGGCCCTCATATTCACTACAGCATGGTTGGTAAAAGCACTTCTTGAAGAAAACTACCTAGTTTTCTCTTGAAGGTGTTCATGTTTGTTCCAGCCATATTTCTTATACTCGCTGGGAAGATGTTGACCTTGATCTTCACTGGTTCTATTCTGCATTTTCCTTCTTATCATTCACTCCAGTATATTATTTTACTATGTAGATTTGGGACCTGGCCATCCAGTGTTTTCCATTTTCCATATTTGATCTCCCTCTCATCTCCGTACTCTAACAGTAAACGTTCCAATGATGCTAAAACGTGTCATCCAATTGTTATTCATGAACATTCATACATTCAACAGTCACACAATTCATATTTATTTTTCTGTTCTATAGAGAATTCATTTGCAAACATTTTGACACTAAATAAATAAATAAAAAAATAAATAAATAAATTAATAAATAAATTATATATATATATATATATATATATATATATAAATATAAAGTAAACCCTCAAGAAATAACCAAGAACACAAAATTATAAATATTTTAAGCATCAGTAGACGGGAGAGAGGGAGGGGTGGGGGAGAGAGGGAGGGGTGGGGGAGAGAGGGAGGGGTGGGGGAGAGAGGGAGGGGTGGGGGAGAGAGGGAGGGGTGGGGGAGAGAGGGAGGGGTGGGGGAGAGAGGGAGGGGTGGGGGAGAGAGGGAGGGGGGAAGAGGAGAGGGAGGGGGGAAGAGGAGAGGGAGGGGGGAAGAGGAGAGAGGGGGAAGAGGAGAGAGGGGGAAGAGGAGAGAGGGGGAAGAGGAGAGAGGGGGAAGAGGAGAGAGGGGGGAGAGGAGAGAGAGAGGGGGGGGAGAGGAGAGGAGAGAGGAGGGAGAGGAGAGGAGAGAGGGCAGGAGGGAGAGGAGAGGAGAGAGGGCAGGAGGGAGAGGAGAGGAGAGAGGGGGGAGAGGAGAGGAGAGAGGGGGGAGGGGAGGAGAGGAGAGGGGGGAGAGGAGAGGGGGGAGAGGAGAGGAGAGAGGGGGGAGAGGAGAGGAGAGAGGGGGGAGAGGAGAGAGAGAGAGGGGGAGAGAAGAGGAGAGAGGGGGGAGAGGGGGGAGAGGAGAGAGGGGGGAGAGGGAGAGAGGGGGGGAGAGGAGAGAGGGGGGAGAGGAGAGAGGGGGGAGAGGAGAGAGGGGGGAGAGGGGAGAGAGGGGGGAGAGGGGGGGAGAGGGGGGAGAGGGGAGGGGAGAGGGGAGAGAGGAGAGGAGAGAGGAGAGAGGGAGAGGAGAGGGGAGAGGGGAGAGAGGGGAGAGGGGAGAGGAGAGAGGGGAGAGGGGAGAGAGGGGAGAGGAGAGGGGAGAGAGGGGAGAGGAGAGACGGGGTGGGGGAGAGGGGGACTGCGAGGTTGCCCCCCCCCCACTCATGCACAAGCGGACGGAGGGACTGCGAGGTTGCTCCCCCCCCCCACTCATGCAGGGAGGGAGGGACTGAGGTTGCCGCCCTCCTATTCACGCGCACCTGGAGGGAAGGACTGCGAGGTTGCCCCCCAATTAGGGAGCCTGGGGAGGGATGGACTGCGAGGTTGGGCCCCCCCCCCCACCACTCGCACCCGCGGGGAGGGAGGGAGGGAAGCTACCTTGACGTGATTCTGGGGATTAGCGACCCCACGACCCAGTCATCGACCAGGCCTCCTGGTTGGCCAGGTATCCTTTGGAGGTGTTTGTCAAGTTTTCTCTTGAACACTGCGAGGGGTCGGCCAGTTATGACCCTTATGTGTAGCGGAAGCGTGTTGAACTCGGGCCTCTGATGTTGATAGTTTTCTCTTAAGAGTATCTGTTGCACCTCTGCTCTTTAACAGGGGTATTCTGCACACCCTGCCATGCCTTCTGGTCTGATGTGCTGTTATTTGTGTGTGCAGGTTTGGGACCAGCCCCTCTACTATTTTCCATGTGTAAATCTCTGCACGCTCTCCAGGTCAGCAATTTCTCCAGCTTTGAAAGGGGCTGTCATTGTGTAGCAGTATTCCACACTAATGAGCACTAGCGTCTTGAGAAGTATCATTATCGGTATAGCATCTCTAGTGTGAAAGGTTCTTGTTATCCAACCTGTCATTTTTCTTGCAGTTGTGACGACTGCTTTATTGTGTTCTTTAAATGTAAGGTCTTTCGATGTCAGTACACCCAAATTCTTTACATTGCCGTTCTGTTTTTATATTTTCATTTATTCCGTAGCGCATGAGCTGAAACTTCTTGTTACCTGGTTGATACCTGGTTGATGGGGTTCTGGGAGTTCTACTCCCCAAGGCCAGGCTCGACTTGTGAGTCTGGTCCACCAGGCTGTTGCTTGGAGCGGCCCGCAGGGCCACATACCCACCACAGCCCGGCTGATCCGGAACTTCTCTTAGAAAACCGTTCAGTTTTCTCTTGAAGATGTCCACAGTTGTTCCGGCAATATTTCTTATAGTCGCTGGGAGGACGTTGAACAACCGCAGACCTCTGATGTTTATACAGTGCTCTCTGATTGTGCCTATGGCACCTCTGCTCTTCACTGGTTCAATCTTGCATTTTCTTCCAAGTCGTTCACTCCAGTATGTTGTTATTTTAACATTAACTTTATTTTTTAAAATTTATTTTTATTTAAACGTTTAACATTAAACGTTATTTTAACTATTAAACGTTAAACACCATGTTATTTTCTGTAGCCCATAGAAAGACCTGATTGACATCTGATTGAAGGTTTGCCGTGTCCTCTATGTTGCCTACTCTCATGGAGATCCTAGTGTCATCTGCAAAGGATGATACAGAACTATAGGTTGTGTCCTTGTCTATGGCCGATATGAGGATGAGAAAAAGTACTGGAGCAAGCACAGTACCCTGGGGGACTGAGCTCTTTACGGTTGATGGTCCGGATTTTATTTTGTTGACTATTACACATTGGGTTCTATTAATCAGGAAATTGTAGATCCATCAGCCTATTTTTCCGGTAATTCCTTTTGAACGCATTTTATGTGCAATAACACCATGGTCACATTTGAAAAAGGCTTTTGCGAAATCTGTGTAAATTACATCAGCGTTTTGTTTGTCTTTCATGGCATCTAGTGCCATGTCATAGTGGTCCAGCAACTGTGATAGGCAAGAGCGCCCTGTTCTGAAACCATGTTGTCTGGGGTTATGGAGATGCTGTGTTTCCATGTATTTTGTGATCTTACTTCTTAGCACTCTCAAAAATTTCTATGATGTGCGATGTTAGTGCTATCGGTCTGTAATTTTTTGCCTCTGCCTTATTTTTTTCCTTTATGGAGCGGTGCTATCTCTGCTATTTTTAATATGTCAGGGATAATGCCAGTATATAGGCTTTGTCTCCAAAGAATGTGAAGGGCCTGCGATAGCGTTTTTTTTAGTCATTGATGAATATGGAGTACCAAGAATCTGGGCCTGGTGCAGAGTGCATAGTCATACTGTCTATGGCTTCTTCAAAATCCAGTGAGGATAGAGTGACATCTGATATATGATTTGATGTTGGTATCATATCCATGAAAAATTCATTTGGGTTATCAATCTTCAGTGTGTTTAGTGGCTCGCTGAAGACAGAATCGTACCGATTCCTCAGTATTTCGCTCATTTCTTCGTTGTCATCAGTGAGAGTTCCATCTCCCTTTCGCAGGGGCCCGATACTAGATGTGGTTTTTTATCTTGATTTTGCATAGGAGATTTCGGATTTCTCTCTATTTCACTGATGGCCTTTTGCTCTCTTTGTCTCTCCTGGGTTTTGTATGATTCTTGTAGGTTTAGTTCAATTGTTTCTATTTCTCTACCTAACCTTCTTCGCCGTTCTTGAGGTAGGGTGCGACTCAAGTTGTTCCACGATTCGTTTTCTTCGTCTATAGAGGGAATGACATTCCCGTTCCAATCTGCATCTCTTCCTCTTTTTTTTCTTAGGGTATGCAGTTTGAACATATTTCTAGTGCTACTGAGCTTATTTTTTCCAGGCACTGGTTCAGGTTTGCATTTTCTAGCTGGCCGTCCCAGCTTATTTCTGTGAAGTCTTGGTTTATTTGCTCCCAGTTGATCTGTTTATTATTGAAGTTGAATTTGCTGAAATCTCCTCAATCGGGAATCGGAACTGGTTTTGAAGGTTTATTCCCCATGCTTGTCAGAACTTCAATTATGCTGTGATCTGAGTACCAGGTATTTGTAATCATAAATGTTCCTGATCAATTCATCATTATTAGTGAAAATGAAAATTAGTGAAAGTGAAAATTAGTGAAAATGAAAAGGAAGGACTGCGAGGTTGGCCCCCCCCACTCACGTGCATGGGGAGGGACTGCGAGGTTGCCCCCCCCCACCCAATAACGCGCACAGAGAGGGAAGGACCGCGAGGTTCCCCCTCCCCATTACGGAGCCCTGGGAGGGACTTGCCCTTCCTCCCCACTCACGAGTGTGGGGAGGAACTGCCAGGTTGACCCCCCCCCCCCCACACACACCACTCACGCACGTGGGGAAGGAGCTGCCAGGTTGCCCCCCCCCCCCCACCACCACCACCACTCACGCGCGTGGGAAAGGAGCTGCCAGGTTGACACCCCCCCCCCCCCCCACCACTCACGTGCGTGGGAAAGGAGCTGCCAGGTTGACACACACACCCCCCCCCCCACCACTCACGCGCGTGGGAAAGGAGCTGCCAGGTTGACACACCCCCCCC